TGAAGTTTTCCAGCAGAACATTCGACACCGTTCCACTGCCACCATTGCTCTTGATCATGTACATCTGGTTCGACGACCAGGTGTAAACATTGCGGTAGACAATGTCGGTGACGTCGGTGTCGGCCCCGAGCGATCCCATTGCGCAACCACCACTCCAGTTGCAATAGATACTCTCCACCAGGATATTGTTGGCAGGGCTCTGCGGTGCGTCTGTCAGTCAAGACTCGAGCGCGTCAATTCATGCTTGCGAAAGAAAAGCCTTACCTTGACTGTTACACATTCATCCTTGTTGGTCACTTCAACCTAAACGAATGCACATCTCGTGAGCGACCGAGAAATAGCATATTGTCACTCGGGCCTGACTTACATCGTGAACCCAGATGTTGCTTCCCCAGACATCAATCCCGTCCAAGCCGCCCTCATTGCCACCACGAATCGCCATGTTGTACACCTCGCCATCGGAGCAGGTATCCATGGTAAAGTGAAAAGCAGGCGCGTCCACCAAGATAATATCGTGCACGGAGAAATGAGTCACGTCGGTCAAGCGCAGAATTCGTGCTCCGTAGGTACCCTCCGCATGGTACACATAGCCGAATCCCTGCACAGCACCTTTGGAGGTGCTACTGAACAGCTCGAAATCGGTGGTGTCAGTGACCGCAATCATGTTCCCACTCGCGGTACCTGTGCGGTAGATGATACCATCCAGCTGGATTGCGGTCGCGCTGCCCCCAGTCAGGGTGACCCAGGTATTTAGGGCATAGTTGCCAGATGGGATGTAGACAAGACCTCCGCTTTTGCATGCAGCCCAGGCCGATGTGATGGCAGGCCCAACGTCGGTCGAGTTGTCGGCCACTGCACCGTAGCTGAGGATGTTGCATGTTTTTGTCGCACCTTTGGTGGAAGCGGAGGTCAACGGGCCAACACTGCCAGAGAGTTGACCGCTGACGAGCGCCGGGATAGCACCCAGAGCAAGAAGGAAAAGACCACGCATGACTGGCTTGGATCAATGGGAGCAACCTCGACGTGCTTGATTCTTGGAATTCTTCTCAAGAACTTACGCAGCAATCGCAGCTTTTATATCGCAGTAAGGAGCGTTCATGGTGATTGTGGTCAGGGGCTCATGTCCACCGGAGAATCTACAACGTACACTTATCCTCGAGCCCCTCGAGCCGCTGGGAATCAAGCAGGCTGAAGATTCTCCGTCCTGTCGGACGTTGATTGTGGCTTCCTACTCCGTGACATAAAATGTCAGAACCCCTTTGGATGATGATCTCTACTGTTTTTGCTAAGAAACCCAGTGGAGTGACAGGAGTCAAGCTTCCTCACAGAGGCTTCAAACTCCAAGCTCCTCCTTATTCATGGAGAATTCTGATTGATTATACCGCCACGCAAGCCAGTGTCAGCGCTACTTGAGCATCCGTCTCGAGGCTTGAAGCGCTGATCACATCCCAAATTGATAGTGATTTCTGCGGAGGATTTAGTTCCAGGGGCGGCCAGGAGGGTTCATCTCGGCAAATATCAAGCAAGAACTCATTCCCCCAGCTAGATGCATCGCCTGACGGACTTTGTGGGGTACGTGCGGCGGGGTGATGCGTGCAACAAGCAATCACCATAAAGCTTCTGCCCTGAAAATCCGGGTCGGTTTGATGCGAGCAAGAAAGAAGACATTGTTCAGGTGCAGCTGTCGGGTGAATGACTGCCGAGTATCCAGTGAGTTGCGTGCCAGTTGGGTTCTTCGTGTTGCACCCAGCGCTCAGGCCCTACCAAGACGGCCCAGCATCACATTCGCGACGCCAAAATCGCTTAATATTCGACGCCTGTGTCCCGCAATTTTATAACCGAGTAATACAAAATGTCGTCATTGTTCTCTCAGGGGCACTCTGCCTACGACAGCTGCACTATCCCCGAAACCACCATATTATGAAGAGTCAAAATAGTCTTGAAGATAGGTAATCTAAATAGCAAGCTTTGACCAACCAGAGTCATCTCTTGGCTAGTTCCGATCCTAGTATCCCGCGCTCTAAGCCATGAAACGCTCGCTCAACGCCCTCTGGAATATCGACATGATCAATGAACCCTTTACCCCGTGGCCCATAGCCATTATCATCATCTCTCAGGCGCGGTATTTCACCCATCAGCAGTCCCAGAAAGCGTGATATGCTCCACAGCGAATCTGCAGGGATCCCATCTACATCGTACACCAGCTCATTATCCTCCTGCAACCGGACCCGCGGCACTATGATTGGCCAGCTTATGAAATCCGGGGTCAACGGCGCAAAGGCCTTGACGAATGAGGCAATCGTCCTTCGGGCCATGGTGGGATCCTGGACGATAATTACGGAATTGGGTGCCGGGATGGCATTCCTCTCCAGCAGGCGCCTGGTCTGTATCGCGTTCTGCCCGCAATTCGTGGACTGGTCCTCGACCAGCAGGTTGCCTCCGGCCTTCCGGAAGTCCGAGGCCACGGCCTCGAAACCTCGCGTGAAGATGGTGTGGAGCACTTGGGCTTCTGCCTTGTCTTGAATCTCTGGGGCAAGATGCGCATATTTGGGGTGCTTGGACACCGCCTCATAAAGGTAAGGGGTGGAGTGGCCAATCCCGCCGCAGAAGACGAGGGTCTTGGTGGCGTGCGGGTTGTGAGCGAGGAATGTGAAGACCGCTTCAGCCTGGTGGAGGATGGCAGACACGCAGATCACAATGCAGTCGACTGCATGGGGGGGCGGCTGTGCTGCGGGGAGTTGCTCATGGGCGAGGAACGTGGAAATCAGGTTGATGTTGTGGGGGTCAATGGATGACATTTTTTTTTCTTCTTCTTTCTGCTTGTTGTTCTCTTCTTGTGTTTGTTTGAATGGGATCAATGACTGCTTCTGACTGCTTCTGAATTTATTAAGATTCTTGTTCAAGGTTGTTTTCTGTGATTGAGAACGGTAGATGAGACAGCAGACGGCACGGATAGAATCAGCAGTGGAGAAAACCACAAACTACGGATGGCAGATGGAGCCGATCTCCGTCCCTCGGCATTGCCTAATTGGGAAAGTCCTCTGCTCTACTAGTAGTACTAGGTACCTACCGACTCATACTATCTACTGCACAATACCTACTTACCTCTACTTACGTTTCCCGCATGATCATCAGCTTGGTTACTTGATTCAACTGCTACTCTGTCCTTAACAACTCCTCACAGCTGGCCAGCATACCAACAACATGAAGCGACTGCTCAAACTGGTCAAGAACCATCCAACCTCAACCGCATCCGCTCTACGCGCCTCGGCAGCTCCCCCAACGTCAGGAACTGCCTCCATCGACAATTTACAGGGCGCATCTGCGGCAGCAGCAGAGCTATCAGATGTCCTTGGTGCCTCTCTCAAGGACATTGACCTTGAAGGTGGCTACTTGACTTCAGCCTGAGGCAGCTTGCTCGTCGCTAATATCTACTGCTGGAAGATAATCTCAGTGCCCAGGCTCGGGCTCTGGCCACGCGCTTGGATGATGAAGCATCCAGATATGACAACGCGCAGCTGAGCCCTGAGCAATGTGACGAGAAGTGGACATGGTAAAGCCGGATCCCCTCAGTTGTTGGGGAAGGGCTTCAGCTAATGCACTTAAGTTCGCAAGATCAATCTCTGCTCATATCACTCGCATGGGACTGCGCGAATGGGTCCCACAAATCTACTTCCCCCCGCCTCCCACGTACGATCAAGAATTGTGTATTGACACATGACCATGAAGTTACGCCTTCTATCAATGGAACAGTCAAGGCTGCTACTTTCACAACGGTTGATTTGCAGGAGATATCAAATGGAAATGAGCTTCTGCCTATGTTGGTGATCGCGATCAGAGGAACTGCCAGTACTGTGGATCATATAGTCAACATCAACAGCAGGCCACAAGATGCGAGTCACTTCATTGTAAGTCAATGTTTCTGTCCTCACCTAAGACGGTCATCATTCTGACGGCTGTCTCTATCAGAAACCTGCCTGTTTTGAGCTCGATGATTACTCGCCCAAGAGCAAGCTAGAGGCTCATTCCGGATTTCTGCATAGTGCAATGGCACTGGAAGCCATCGTTTCTGAAAGAATAAAAGCCTACAGTCGTCTCCATGCTGACACCGGCAGTCACATTCTCTTTACCGGTCACTCTGCAGGAGGTGCCGTAGCCTCACTATTGTTTCTCCACTATATCTCAGAGGCTATTCCCAAGAACGCAAGACGCTTCTCTTGCGTCACGTTTGGTGCCCCACCAGTAGTCACATTACCGTTGATGGATGGCATCAGGCACCGAAGATCGCCTACAAATCTATGCTTTAACCTCATCAACGAGTTCGACCTTGTCACTAGAGCAGATAAGAACTATGTCTTATCTCTTGTGAACTTACTACGGTCGCGCAATGATCCATCCCTTGTGGTCGCAGATGCGGCTGCTGGATGCGAGCAAGCTTCTGGTTCATTCTCCGATAACGCTGAAGGTTGCTGGCCATTACCGCACTCTCTTTACAGCCATGTTGGGCCCCGTGTTATCCTGGTCATGCGATTAGGAAGTTCGCAGGAACACTTGCCCCGATTATGCGCTGCCTCGGTGTCCCGGAAAGAGTTTGACAGACTGCTATTCTGTCGTCTTTCCGTTCATAAGCGAAAGTACTATGCGCAGACGGTAGGACAGCTTCTGGCTGGTCAGGCAAACGGGGTGATTGGGGAAGCATGATAATAAGAGCATGTCATCGCTTACAGAACCTCCTTTAAACAAAGCACGCATAAATCGATATGGCCTCCAGGCAGCACGAAAGAATCGAATATGCCCTTCGAAAGAACAGGATAAGTGACGCCAGGAAAACCTCTGCCATCGTCGGCGAAAACGGCTACACACTAGAGTCTCGACAAGAACAAGGCTGTTTTCCACTTATCGGATCGAGCAGTACAATTAACCGCCGTTTCGAGGGTCAACTCGGAAGATTAGCTGATTTGACAGATGGGGTCGCATTCTCAAAGTATACATTAATCAGCGGGCTAATTCCGAATCCTTCTCGTTCGGCGACTCTGGGCATCCAGCCTCACTTTTGCACAGCCTCGGATACCCCGGGCTCTAAGCACGAGGCCGGTGCCTGGCCTTGGCGATCCTCGTATTTTCCAGCCTTGCACCCCAGCAACAAACCTACTCCGCAGGCTGTATGGGGGGGGCGGCCTCAGACTCTCAATCTTGATATGATGTCTTGAGATTGTGGAGGAGCCGAGTTTTAATCTTACAATCCTCAATTTGGCACCCACTGGCATCCAAAAAACCCCCATTCATGCAACAGCCACCATGTCTTGCCTGAGTGGGATTCGCCTCAGGCACCATTTCGAGCGATCTTCGCTGCCGAACATCACTCATGCTCCCCGAGCCCCGTGGAAATTAGTAGGGCCTGCTAGCGCACATTTGCAGTCTGAGCTTGAGACTCTGTACTGGTATGGCGTTAGGCTCGAGCTCGAAAATACCATACGCACTTTGAAAACCTGGCAGCAATCAGAGTATACAGATGTGGCAGTCGATGATGAGCATGATAACAATTTACACGGCTTTGACACATTTATCGATCAGGTTACTCAGGAGACACGGGCGTTTGCGATACGATATGGTAGTGCGCTGTCTGTCTACTACAATCAAACTCGGGCTAACTTGTTCTGCCGATGTAGGGGAAGAGAAAACTGCGATGACAGCCGACCAGGACAAGATCTTGTCCTCTGTTATGAACGGCACTGAAATCAAGGAGGCTCTACGCAAAACAAAACTCGCGCAGGTAGAATATCAGAGCACTAACGTTGATGTTAAGGATGAAGTGCGAAGGAACATGGAAGGTTGTTTGTCATTGTCTGCTTCTCTCGCCCAAAGCTAATGAGGCCTTTTAAGACATTGTATCATCTTCCGGTATCCAGGAGCGGGCACGTATCCTCCTCCAAGCTGCGGGTGAGTCTAAAGGGTACCAGTCTGAGAGTATCTCAATTGACATTAAGCCTACGCAGGGCTCCTCGATATCGACAAACTGATTGAGCACCGTCCACCTCTAGAAGACCTTGGCTTCTGGGCTCGGCCTGCCATTCCGCAACGTATGGACCGAATACCACATGATGTATCACTCAGTACAGTTACCTAACAAAATCTCTAGTCACTCTGTCTGGTTTTGATAGTGACTGGAATGCCCGACTTGAGCCTCTTAAATGCTCGGACTGCTCCAGTATCATTCGAGGTAGCATGTTTACCCATAGCGGCAAATCGAACCATGCAAAACAACTCAGCGTCTGCGAGGACTGTTATCGAAAACTCTATCTTGGCAGAGAACAATATGTCAAAGCATACAAGCACTGCGTTCTCGCCGAGGCCATTACTCCTGCATTAAGTCGGAATATATGTCATTGTGCAGACGTCTCTCGCCTTGACAGCACCGGACTTCCGGGTGCCCTCTTTCCAATTTCTAAGGGAGAACGGCATGTTGCAATTCCACTCGCGAAGAGATGCAAATTACTCGAGCTCAATAATCGAGTCGCGCTCGCAAAATATCACGGTCTACAGTCTACAGTCCGTGATCATAGGAAGAAAGACAAGAAAATGACCAGATTCCGAGTCAAATCAAATGGTACAGCTGCACAGGGGATAATTGAGCCAGCCAGGAAAGTAACTTTGAAAGGAGAATCCGATTCGAAGCAGCCGCCCTTGCGACCAGAAACAGAAAAGGAAGTCCCTTTCGCTCGTGACCAGGATACAAACACTGCTTCAGTGAAGGAAGCCATGGCAGACGAAGATATACCGTTATTCTTTCGCCAATTTGCCCAACAATACCCTTTTGGCAATGTTCACATGGCCTTACGAGTTGGGCCCCTGGTCATTGAAAATGGGGTCGCAAAGTAAGCATAGACCTATTTCAATACATCAGCTTCTGGAAGACTTACTGATCAACACTGCAGCACCAAGCAAGGCGCCTTGGTTACTATAAGAGAACTACCTACCTTCCACGATAGACCTGATTCCTGCAGTCCATGCTCTCGTCATCCTAGTTTAGCAATTGGCGGCGACACCAAGAGACGCCTTTGGCAGCAGCAGCGCCTCGTTGGAACTCCCAAACGATACAAAGCTATCATGAAGCAGGTTGTCGGGGTACCCTTCACCGGCGCCATTTCTGGATCTTCCTATGCTGAGCAGGAATCTGGGATTTCATGGCTTATTGTGGCGGCTAGTCGTGGTTATTTCGACCATCCAGGACTTCCCGTCAAGGAACAGCGCAAGAGTCTAGACGCTGCGCTGGATCAAATAATGGCCAAACTCAAAGCCCTTCTTGAGACAAGGGTCAATATCTATTTGCAGGGGATTGCAAAGAAGTTACTCGATCCAAGTACAACACTTACCTGGAGTGCTATCGGTAATAATTGTCAATCATTTTGCGACTCACTCATTGACACGGATTCATTTGAACCTTTGATTGAGAGGACTTCGGCGGGTCAAGCTTCGGGGGCCGTATCACCGTTATATCTCATGAGCTTTGTTTGTCCACAGGACGGCTATCTACGTAGCCAAGTCCGCACGAAATACGATGTTCCCAGAGGACTGACCGAGGAGTACCTTCTTCGCTTCCACTTCGGTCGACATGATGAGTCTGATGTTCTAGACACTCTCCAGGAGTACTGGTACGACTGGGGCGCGTTTGGTGGTACATTATACAAGTACCAGGATCTTTTTCCCTGGGATTGCACTGAAGCATATCAGCAGCACCCCAAATTCTGCGGCTCTTGTAATCTCGCTAAGCATATCTGGGCATTTCCATTCGACGCTTGGTCTCTAATCGCATTACATCTCCAGCGGGGTCCACAAATGTACGCCACAGCGAAGCCAAGCAATCGAGGAATGGAAGATGTTTCCTGGATGCGTGATCGACTTACCGTTCTCACAGCCTTGTCTCTCCTGAACCGAGGAGCGACGGCCATGGCTCGAAGTGAAAAATTCGTGCAAGCGACCCAATGGCTCCATTCTGCGGATAAGGGTCCTCGACAGGCACACCCGTCACTGACAAGGGTGAAACTGGGAGGGATTCACCGCGCCCAGCCCTATAGCCACTATTACGAAGCGGGGACCTACAGTCATTACTTTCTCGCTAAGTGGGCTTCACGACCACGGCCTGAGCAAATTCAGGAATACGAAGTTTTGCGCAACGAGCGTGCCAGGAGGCCCGATGTTGGCGGGAGATTCTCCTTACCTAGGACGGAGAACGCAAGAGAGGGACCGACAAATCTGGATTTTCTGGGATTTGAAGGGCTTCTATATGACCTCGATCGACTGCATACCAACGATTCTGTCGATGAGAGCTGTGACGAGGTGGCATCTACTGATGCAGATTATCACTCTGCTCACTCTGCTCACTCTTCCCCTGGCAATGCAGATGGCGACTTTCAATCTCAACCCAGCTCTGGATCGATGGCCGGCCCGGAATCATTATATTCGTCGCATGGTGTTCCTTCGATTGATGACTCCCAGCAAACCAAAGCCAATGAGGGAGCTCCAGTGCAGGAACACCGAGACACAACGTATCGGGACACCGTGCATCCAAACAGAACCGATTACGGAGCCGGCGATGAACGAGATGTTCAATCCACTACCCGAGACGCAGGTTCAGCAGACAAAGAGGATACCGAATGTCGCGAAGACTCGTCCAAGCAAAATCAGTCTGGGGTCAATGACGGTAGCCCCCGAGCCTCCTATCAGTACGACTCCACTTTCGCGACGTGGAAAGGTCACTCGAAGTATCAACATCCCGGTCATGTTGACCACACCCGGAAGACTGATTCTGGCGCAGCAAAATCTACTAGAGATGGAGAGGCCCATACTGGTTCAGGGCACGGGTATTCCAGTACAATTTCCTCTGGGTACGGCAGTCGCAATCACGACGGTTGGTCCAGTGGCTATACTGGGGGTTGGAACCCGTATCTCAGCAGCCGCTCTCATAGTAGTGGCAGTAGCTACCACGGTAGCAACTCGAGTAGTTCCTATGGAGGGGGTAGCTCTAGCTCGTATAGCAGCAGTTCGGCCGGAGGAAGCAGCTCATGCGGCGGTGACTCAAGCAGTTCGTCTGGTGGCGGTGGCTCGAGCGATTCATATTGGAGCAGCTCATACGATAGTGGCAGTTCGTACAGCTCCAGTTGGAACTGATGAATTTGTTGTGTTGTTGTGGTTGTTTAGGAGGGACCGGGTTCATACAATACATACATACGGAGTAGTTGCCGCAGTCGCCGTTCTACGGTAGTCGCCGAGTCGCCGACTGTAGCCGTTCCATCCTGCTTTTACTCGGCCGAATTATTACATACTGTCGAGTACAACGGATTCAGGAGAACGTGACTCACCTTCTTGAAGTTCTCCAAAATACCTTATATTCTTGGTAAATTCTATTTCTGATTGCTACACATATCGACATATCGACATATCCATATCTTTATTCTGGAACAACCCACTCAGCTTGGTGTATATCAAGTCGTGGGTGGCGTTCCGCCAATTGCCGACTTTCGCCCTTCAACTGCCAGTAGTTATGGCCTGCCAAAGCAATTCTACACCCATCGAACCCTCCAAACATGATGTGGGTTGGAGGAGGGTTGTCCGTCATTTCACTCCCTCGTATGATTGCCTGGTCAGAATGGCTTCTGTGAGACGCAACAGCTGACCTGGATCCAGCTGGTTCTCCGTCACCATGGGCACTGGAATAGTGTCCGTCCTCTTGAACACCCTGCCCTACAACGGCCAATGGCTCTACTGGATCTCCGTCGCGATCTTCGCCCTGAATGTCCTGCTCTTTGCGACCGGATGTATCATCACACTTCTCCGCTACACGCTGTACCCGGAGATCTTCTTCGCGATGATCAGACACCCTGTGCAGTCGATGTTCATCGGCACCTTTCCGATGGGATTCGCCACCATCATCAACATGTTCTGCTTCGTCTGTGTCCCGGCCTGGGGCGAGTGGAGCCGGAACTTTGCTTGGGGACTGTGGATCTTCGATGCTGTCTTCTCCGTGATCACGGCATTGTCATTACCTTTTCTGTTGTAAGCGGCCTTTCGCAACCTTTGATTCTCTAGCAGCCACGCTCATTTCGCCGGCGATCAGGATGGCTCACGGGAGTGAGACCCAGCTTTCATCGATGACCGCGGTGTGGCTTCTGCCCATCGTCAGCTGTATCGTTGCCGCGTCGTCGGGAGCCATCGTCGCGGACGTGCTCCCCAACCCGCAGCACGCCCTGTGGACGGTCATCGTGAGCTACATCCTGTGGGGCATCGGCCTGCCGCTCGCCCTCATGGTCATGGTGATCTACCTCCAACGACTCACGCTGCACAAATTGCCCCCCAAGGCGGTGATCGTGAGCGTCTTCCTACCCCTGGGCCCTCTCGGACAGGGCGGATTCGGGTGAGTGCCTGCTAAAAGATTCCACGCCCCTATATCGCTTACAACCCTTTTCAACCCCTGGGTGGTGGTCAAGAAATGAATGGGCTAACTGAAACGCCTTCAACCATGGTGTAGCATTATGAAACTCGGCAGCGCGGCGCAGACGATTTTCCCGCAGACCCAGACGCTGACGCTGGACTCCGGATTTGGGTCTGGGCCGGTGTTCTACACGGTAGGCTTCATGGTCGGCCTGATCCTCTGGTCGTTCGGCCTGGTGTGGCTCTTCCTGGCGATTGCCTCGATTGCGCGGTGCCGGAGCTTCCCCTTCAATATCGGGTGGTGGGGGTTCACCTTCCCGCTCGGGGTGTTTGCGACGAGTACTTGCCAGCTGGGGAAGGAGTTGCCGTCGGAGTTTTTCAGGGTGTTGGGCACGGTATGTTTTTTTTTCCCTTCATTCTTCCTGCGTGTAAGAATAGGTCGGTCTGGGTGTGAAGGGATGCTAATATTTTGGGTGGGAATAGATTCTCTCCCTCTGTGTGGTGGTGTTGTGGGGAGTGGTGGGCGTGGGCACGTTGCAAGGGGTGCTGTCGGGCCGGTTGTTCTTTGCGCCTTGTTTGGCTGACTTGAAGGCTAAGGAGGGGGAGGACCAGCGCGGGGTCGATGATGGTTCGAAGAGTGCTTGAGTTTGTTGGGGTTGTTTCTGATATCTAAGGGAAATTCATTCTTTTTTTTTCTTTTTTTTTGCACGTGGGTTTGGTAAGATATAATTTGCGCAAATAGGTCTTGATACTGAAAGAGATCTGGCATCCATGGGTTAGTATGGCATCAGTTAGCATCCATGCTGCACGCACGCCGAACAGCGCTCAGGAACAGGTGGGCGAATTAAGCTTAAATGATTAGATCAAACTTTGATTGATAGCCAGGCAGGCTACTAGGTGGTTCCTGTTCTGATAATTTTTTAAATTGTTCAATTATTTTAGGGGTAACAAATTTATTTTTTTTCCTAAGGTGATTTTTTTTGGTGGTGGTGGATGACGGTTTTGGTTATTTTGAATTCAGGGAAGGGAATATTTATTTTATTCACCCTGCGGGAACCAGATTATAGTGTTTGGTAGTAATGCTCGGGAGTTCGGGACCCAGAAGACGCTAGGACTTCATTGTTATTGTATTGCTGTCAGACGTCACGGGCAGGTAACTTATAGGTTGTCGGCTTCGAGGGATACATAGTACCTACCTACGTAGTACTCCCTCCTAATGTTGATATCGAGGGATTGTGCCTGGACTGCAAAGTATGTATACAAGTAAAAGATGCCATCATCTTCTGTGTACCGCCGCGGGCGATCCTTGTCGTCATCTCGATTTGTGCCCGACCAGTCCAAGCCCGACACGAAGCCCGGCCTGTGACTGGCCAGCCTGGCGGCAAGTCACGTGCCGCTCCACTCCCCCCAAATAAAACCGCCCCCTCCAAGCAAAAAAACTGAAAATCCCAAATTTCCCCGGAGAGCAGAGAAAAAAAATATTATAAAAGAGGGAAAATCAGAAAAATTAAAAATTAAAAAATTTAATAAAATAAAAAAAAGGGACGGAGTTCCATCCACAACCCCAAACAAATCATCGCGCGCGACCATCTCCAGACTTCACGATCCATTCCCAGATTCCCCCCAAGTATCTCTAATTCGATTCATTGATTGATTGATTGATTGATTGACTGCTTGAAGAGTGGTTTTGGGATCACTATTATCTTTTGTGGTGAGTGCAGAGTAGAGGGAATCTCTGTTCTGATTATTGTCATTGCCTTGTGGGAGAGCGACCGACTGTTCACACCTTGCATTCAGCTTGTTGGGCATTCCTCTGTTTTTCCCTCCAGTTTTCTCTTCCCTTCCCCCCCTTTTTTTTCAGCTCTCGCCTTCTTTTTTTTTACCCTTTCTTTTTTCCTCTCCCCCTTCCCAACCAAGTGCGCGGCTGGTCTTTGTGGATCGACCGTAGTTTCCCGGGGAGAGAAACGGTTGTTGTCCGTCATTACTGTTAGCCTTACCAGCAAGCTGCTTGCCTGCTTGCTTGCCTACTTGCCTGCTTGATCTGCTTGCTTGCCTGGTACTGACCGTACAGTACTCCGTACCGCCCTTTTACTAGTAGCCTGACAGCCTGTGGCAGCCTGAGGCCCTTCGTCCGTCTGTCGCTTCCGGATTGGGAATCGAGCCGGGATCGTTGCTTATTCCGCATTTAATTGTTATCGTCACAGCGGCCGCTTTTCTCATTTTCTATTTTCCCCAGCCCGAGAGAGAAAAAAAAAAAAAAAAAAGAAGAGAGTTGCAGACGCGCCCCCGTGCGCGTGTCTGTCATCAACTGTTCCGATCCTGTATTGCAGTTACTGCTCAGGTTCGTCCATCTCTCTCTGTCTCTCTCTCTTTCTTGCTGTCATCGGGCTTCCGACCTTCCACCATCTCCATTGTTGAAGAAGAGCTGGTGGAGTTTTGGTCTGGAATTGGCTTTCTCGCCACCCCTCCAAGGGCCCCCCCCCCTCCTCCTCCTCCTCCTCCCCCCTCCCCTCCTTGCCCCCGGTGTGTGTGAGGGTGAGGTCAGTCCGTCCCGTCCAAGTCAAGTCACTCTCCATCGCGGCACGTACAGTACGTACTCGTACTCACCCACTCCGCCTTGGTCAGCAAACACCACCGCCACCACCACCACCATCACAGACCGCCCGCCCGACCGCCCCCGTAACCGTGTCGCTTCCTGCCGACGCGGTGGTCACATGTTCGTCGCCTCCCCCCGAGTATTATCACTCTGGTTGATTTGATATCAGCATATCAGCACCACCACGCTCATCCTATATTCAGGAAAATAGCCACGCAATTGTCTTCGGGTGGGATTAGTGTCTGATACATTCCCCCGAAGATGATGGGCTACAATGGTCTTCCGTTCCATCAGCAACGGGCGCCCCAGCAGAATGCGCATCCCCAGCATCATCATCCTCAACATCAACAACAGCAGCAGCAACAACATCAACATCCTCACCACCACCAGCTGCAGTCCCCGTCCATGAATGCGGCCACCGCAACCCATCCTCATCATGGCGCCGGATTGACCAGCAATAGCTCTCTGCTTCGCGCCCATACGCAGACCGAATTGGCCGCTCATTCCCCGGATCCCCGCAAAATGACCCCGGCCTCATCCAGTCCGCTTGTCGGCCTCAATACGGCGGGACATTTCAACTCCTTCCCGGGGCATTTCACCCCGCAGGGCTCGTCCGATCTGCTGTCCCGGAATGCCGACTCGATCGGCCAATTGAAGGATCCCTACCTGTCCTTGCAGAGTCTTCAGCGGAACATGAACCCCATGGCCAATTATCGCTCCCATGCCATGAATGCGCAGGCGGCCATGTCGCCCCATGCGCACACCATGGGTATCGCGTCCCCTCAGCAGTCGCTCGAGCGGCTCCAGCAGCAACATCTGCAGCAGCAGCGCCAGAGCGCCCATTCGCTTCCCAATGCGCAAACGCCCACTCCCGCGGCCGCGTCGCCAATGCTCGGGGCCGGCCAAGCCACGCATCAATTCCACCAATCGCCTTTTCAACAGACTCAGCAGGCATCTCCGTACCAGTCGCAGGCTCAGCAGCTGCCTCAGTTCCATGCGCAATATCAGCAATCTCCGCACCAGGCCTCTCCTTATCAGACCCAGGCCCAGCAGTCGCCGTATCAGCAGCATGCGCAGCAGACATTTCAGCAGCAACAGCAGGCTCAGCAGGAAGCTCATCTGAAAGCGCAGCAGGAGGCGCAGCGACAGGCCCAGGCCGAAGCTCAGCGACAGGTTCAATTGGAGGCTCAACGCAAGGCACAGGAAGAAGCTCAACAGAAATTGCAAGAGCAGCGGAGGCAGGAGGCTTTAAAAGCGCAGCAGGAAGCCCAGCGTAAGGCTCAGGAAGAAGCGCAGTTGAAAGCACAACAAGAAGCCGCGCTCAAGGCCCAGCAAGAAGCCCAGCAGCGAAAAGAAGCTCAGCTCAGGGCCCAGCAAGAAGCCCAGCGCAAGGCGCAGCAGGAACAACTCAAGGCACAAGAGGCGCAATTGAAGGCCCAGCAAGAAGCCCAGCAGCGGAAAGCTCAGCAGGAAGCTCAACTCAAGGCCCAACAAGAAGCCGCCCAACGGCAGCAGCAGGCTCAGCAACAGCAACAAACGCAAGAGACTTATCAGCAACAGCAGCAGGCCCGTTTCCAGCAGCAGCATGCTCAGCGATCACCTTTCCAATCCCAACCGCAACAGCTCCAGTTCCATCATTATCAACATCATTATCAACAGCCGCAGCAGTCGCAGCAACCGCAGCAGCCACAACATCAGCAACAGCACAATATCATGCATCAGCAACCGCAGCAGCAACATCAGTTCATTCAGCACCACCAAATACAACCCCCGGCTCGTCAACCGCAGGCTCAACCGCAGGCTCAAACTCCGACCCAGCCGCAGAACCCACCCCAGGCCCAGCCTCAGGCCCATCCGCAGACCAAGCCTCAGACTCAAGCTCAGACTCAATCCCAGCAGCAGCGTCCGCCACAGTCATCCACCTCCACTGCGGAGAAAAAGGCAGCACCTAGTAAGCCACGGAAGAAACAGGCCAAGCCCGCTGCATCGCCAGTCCCCGCTGGGGTGCACATTAACGGGCAGTTTCATCCCGTTTTTCAAGCTCAACTAGGGCCTTCAAGCCAACAACAGCCTGGTGCTAGCAGCCCTGCCAAACCCCCTGCCATGGCCCCCGTTAACGTGGCTCCCGCTTCGGCTGCTGCCACTGCTGCCGGCTCCGCTCAAGGTGCCGCTGCCCATAGCGCTGTCCCTGGGACTAGTTCGGGGTCTCTTCCTGGTGCTGTCCATAATGCCATTCCCGGGTCTGTCGCGGGAGCTCCTTCGGGTTCCCAAGTTGATGGTCAAACTCCTAAAAAGAGGGGTCGTCCTCGCAAGCCGCTCGCTCCTGGGGAGGTGCCAAAACCTCGCAAGCCCAAGAAGCCCAAGAAGCCGCAGGAGACCACCACGATCATTGGCCCTGATGGTACACCCATCACGGTTCCCCTCCCTCCCCCACCACCAGCCCTTGGTCCCGATGGAAATCCCTTGCCACCACCCCCTCCCAAGAAGAAGCGACCAAAGCTCCCTCCTCTGCCTCCGATTGTCTTGCCTGATGGAACCATCATTCCACAAAAGCGCGGTCGTGGACGGCCACGCAAGACGGAGGTGAGCGGCGATCAGCCCCCGAAGCCTCGGCCACCTAAGAAACCCTCGTCTAAACCGGGTACGGGGCGCCCTCGCGGGCGGCCCCGAAAGGCGGATGTGTTGGCACGAAAGGCAGCAGAGGAGGCGGAAGCGCAAGCCAAAGCCCTAGCTGAGGGGGTCAAACCTGACCAGACTGCAGGGGAATCGGCGCAGATCAAGCAGGAACAGTCACATCAGCAACCGCAGCGGCCGCAACAGCAAACACCGTTGATGCAAGTCCAGCCTCAACAGCCTCAGCAACAACAGCAACAGGTGCAAGCGCAGCAGCAGCAACATCAACAACCGCAACAGACTCGGCCTCAATCTCACCAGGCACTGCAACAGCAGGCTCAACAGCATCCTCACCTTCACCAGCAACAGATTCAGCAGCAAGCTCATCTCCACCAGCAGCAGCAGCAAGCTCAGCAAGCTCAGCATGTCCAACACCAGGCTCAACATCCTCATCAACAACAGCATGCTCAACAGCAGGCTCAGGCACAAGTACAGCAACAAGCTCGCCAGCAGCCACAAGCTCAGCCACAGGGTCAAACCAAGCCGCAAGCTCAGGCCCATGCAAAGCCCCAGCCTCAGCATCAGCACTTGCATCAGTTCCAGCTTCAACAACCTCCTGCACATCATCAACAGGCTCAAACTGCGGTGCAGCCTCAATTTCAAATACACCAGATGCAGGTCAAGCCCCAACCTCATCTCCAGGCCCATCAGATTCAGTCCCCGCATATGCAGGCCCATCAGTTGCAGTCTCCGCATATGCAAAGCCACCAGATGCAAGCTCAACATCAGCCTCATGCTCCTGCTCATACGCAAGCCCACGCCCAACAGCTGCAACCGCAGCAGCAACAGGTGCATCAAGTGCATCAACAAGCCTCTCGTCCAATGCAGTTGCAACCACAAGCACATCTGCAACCCCATCTTCCCCAGGCGCATCAGTTGCAAGCCCATCAGATGCAAGCCCAGGCACAAACACATCCCCATGCACATGCCCATGCTCACCAGCACCCGCACTTCAACCTTCACCCTCAGCTTCACCCTCATGTCCAGCCTCAAACCACCGATTCAATGACCCTCAATCCGTCTCAGAAGCGTAGCGCGCCTGTGGACGACGATCCCCGAAAACGTGCTTTTATCATGCCTCAGCAAATGTAACGGCGTCTTCATCGATGTTGTAATGCACGCCGCTAACGTCCGCCCGGTTTTACCTGTTACTATTTAATCACCAACCCCACACTGGATTTTTTTGGGATGTATCCTCAGCGTTGTATTCACTTTTGTTTATGCCTAGTATACTAGTGGCTTGTTCCCCTTGTTTCTATCCCTGATGACATAGCAATTAACTTATCGACCCCGTCTTACATATGAAGCCTACCGGGGTCCGCGTTCGGTTTTACTGTCTTGTGCGCTGTTGAGTCGCGCCTTTAGCCTGCTTCGGTGTCTATTAGCATAGCATAGCATAGAAGACATAACCAATGAAGTATATATGATTTCGTCGAGGCCAGGTTCGCAGTGATATCACCAGATTCCGAATGTTATCCTGCCAGCCCAAGCTCGGTTGATATATTCGTCGTTTATCTCGGGGTCCCTTCGAATCACTGAGATCATACGGATAGGCGCCCGACTCACCGACTCACAATTTCCGGAATTAGTCAAGAGAACCAGATGATTGCCTAGGCGTCTATTACAGCAGAAGATCAACATAATGATCCTTGCAAAAGAAGAGAGATTGGGGGGGGTGGGGGGGGGAGGGGGGAGAGTGTGCAACCCTCGGCATCATCCAAAGTACTGTACGGAATACCAAGCTAAGTTACTTAACTTAGGTGCCTAGTACAGTACCTAGACCAGTTACCTTAGGTTCCACGCGGGCGGTTAGTAAGGTAGGTACTAGGTAACTAACTATTAGGTAGTAGTCTAGGGCTGCTGCCACTTCGGGAAGGACCCAGCCAGCCGAGCCCGGGGCCCTCATACTAAGTACATAGCACATATTGTGTCCTGTCCGTATGGTACGGAGTAGGTAACAATGACACCCAGTTCCAAGTTCTGCTAACTTGCCATCCCTACCACCTTACGTTAGCGTAATGTAGCTAACTTCTGTCGGGAGTTGCAACAACAAGCCCGGGTGGTCTAGTGGTATGATTCTCGCTTAGGGATTTCCTAAACCCCAAGCATATCTGCGAGAGGTCCCGCGTTCGATCCGCGGCTCGGGCCTGCCTGATTTCTTTTTCCCTTCCCAGGGACTGGGATTTTCTTGCTAGGGCGGGGGAGGGGTTTCTTCTTTTTTTTTTGTTTGGCTGGGTTGGTTGGGTGGGGGTGGCTTGTGTGTGTGTGTGTGTGTGTGTGTATGTGTATGAGTGAGGTTTTTATATGCGGGAAGGCTATGCTTCAGAGAAGGGGGGGGGGACGCATGGTTGGAATGTATACTTCTGTATGTATACCACGGAAGGAAGGGCAATTGATTATATTAGAGATTCAAGGTAAACAAGATTAAGTTTAAGGGGTTGGTTCACCGACTACAGGGAACTTCTTTTTGCCATCGTATACTTGAGTGGATAGGAAGGTAGGAGGCAGCACTAGGTACGGTACACGCCACCGAGATCGCAAAGTCGTATATATACCTACCTACCTACCTACCTACTGCGAACAGTAAAACAGTAAAACAACCCAGCCAGACAAGTGAAGGGACCGGCTTGACCAAGATTGGCCCCATCCATATAGGACAGACAGTGCAACAAGACCGAGCTAGAGGGACAGATTTGAGGGACTGGGCCGTTGATTTCAAGAACATTGAGAAACAAGGTCAAGCAGGCTTATCCGAAACGCACACACACACGCACACAAAAAAACAAACCAAACGGAAACAGACGACCACAACGCAAGACTGAGAAATTGATACGCCTCGCTCTTGAATGACAGATACTATTTCGCTCGCTTGGCTTTGAAAATAAACTCCGGGCGGAAAGTTGATCGACTATATATATCTACATAATATCTGGAACAAGGATTTCCCTGTGGTGTCGTATACACAGCAACTATTCCATCTGACCATCGATTTGACCGTCGATCTCAAGGGCCGGGGGTTCCTCGTCGATTTGCATGGCGGTTGGTTCGTAGTCCTCCACGTCCTTCTTGGGGAAAGTGCCCTCATCGCCCTTCCGGGCGAAAGTGTCTTCCTCATCCCCCTGAGAAAAAGTGTCATCATCGTCCTTCCGGGCCAAAGTTTCTTCATCCTTCTGGGAGAAAGGGTCCTCATCCACCGGAAGGTCCTTTCCGTCCGGGATATCACTAATGTCAATCCCAATGCTCGGGGCGATCCGCTGCACGACGCTGTAGCATTGCCGGAACGCGCGCCGCGCGGCGGTGTGGGTGAACGACAGGTGGTGGAGCCAGCGGAGGGCCTTCTTCATCTCGCGGGTCATGGTGTGGATGTCGGCGAGCGCCGTGGGCGGTTGGTGGTTCGAGATGGCGCTGGAGGTGGTGTCGACGTACTCCTCGCCGCCGGTCGACGGCAGCACGGGCGGGCAGCACGACAGGTGGAGGAGCAGCGCGGTCGTGGCCTGCATGATGTAGTGTAGGATACACCACCAGGGGGTGACCGAGACCAGCCAGGGAAGGTTGGGGGTTTCCGGCAAGACGGATAGGAGCGAGCAGGCGGAGTGGACGCAGTTGCGGGCCATCTCATTGCGGAACTGGCTCCGTGCAGAGGAATTGTGGGAGGCGTTCTGGGCCGAGGAGGAGGCAAGCGTCGGGTTGGGGGACATCGACCCGGACTTGAGGCCGGAGCGGGTGAGACACGGCCGCGAGAGTGTGATGCGAGCGCTGTAATAGCTGATGGCGAGAGATATCCGTTCGCGCTGGTGGGATCTCTGCAGGTCCGGGAGGATATAAAACGTATCGTCCTGGTCGCTCACGGTGAACCGGTACGGCGCCGGGACTTTCATGAGCCAGACTTTCAGGGTGTGATCGTATTTGCGAATGCGCTGTTCAACCTGGCTGGCGCGGTCGCGCAAGCCTTGGATGCTATAGACTTTGTTGATGATAGCCTGCGTGATACTGCAGAGATCCACGAGGAGGTGGAAGAAGAGGGACGGACTGGGCGCACAGGTTGCGAGCCACGAGGCCGTGGTGGTTGCTTCGAGTTCGTTTTGAAGGATGGTGAGCTTGAGACGGCTCATCTGAAGAGCGGGATCTTCTAAGATGGGCCGAACTTCGGGGCTGTTCCAGGCCTCCTCCTCGAATGGGATAGGCAGTGGTGTCGCACTGAGGCCTTCCCCAACGCAGGAGACTCGGCCGGTGATGGCCGTCAGGAGATGCTCGAGGAGATAGATCGACCACCACAGACGACAGCGAGCTTCTTTGGCAGCCCGCGACGTGCCACTATTCTCGAGGCGGAGGTTTATGCCCAGTGAAACGGCTGACCGAAAGGCCATGCTCGAAAACTTGAAGGAGCTGAAATGACTTCGTCAGTACTCGAAGTTCGCCTCCGGAACGCAGGACTGGAACATACCGATTGACCTGACACATGGAAAGGAAGTAGAACGCCACCAAGAACTCCGCCTGGATCTGCTGGAGATTGGCGTGCTCGAAGATGACGTTCTCGCCCAGGGTCAGCTTCCGTGCCCGATTCAGATACACCACATCATCGTAGTCACCCCCCTTCTTCCCATACACCGACTGGCAGAAGCGGCTCCCGATGGCGAAGATCATGTTCAGGACGGCTCGCCACCGATCGCCCGGCTCAATCTGCCGATTCCCCTGAATGACGAATTGCGAATACTGAGAGACAAAGAACACTTTGCTGATCACGTTGAAGGACGGATGCACGCTCTCTATATAGAGCCGGAAGAGTCGGTTAGCAACGTCCTTGGGCGGGAGCGCGTACGGGTCGACATCCGCCATGACGGGGATGTCGAGGTCATCCAGGTAGTAGTTCATCGCGGCAACGGGCGTTTCCTGCTTCTGCGCTGGCTGCGGGACCAGCAGGAGCTGCTGCATCTGCTGCTGCCCGTCCGACGCATTGTCGTTGCTGTCCGCCTCATGAAGTTCCTCCATTTGAAGGTGGCGCAGCTCGGCCTCGTCCTCCAGCTTCTGCAACCAGGACACTTCCGAATTCTTCCCAAAGAACCCTGTCGCGACGGCCCGGTCACTGCGGTTCAAATCCTCTTCCACCGTATCCAACTCATTGAGCGAGCCAATGGACGAGGAATCCGACTCAGACCCCTCGTTCTCATTCGGCGGTGGTTCTTCTGGCGTCGTCCCGTCGGAGACCCGCAGCTACTACACTTTTAGCATGCTTCATCCAGCTGACAAAGAAGTGACACTCAACCCGCGACTCAGAAAACTAGCGAAGAGACTTACCCTCAGCGCCCTCCGAATCCTCCTCGCGGTATCTTCGTCCGCGGTGCGCTCCACCTCGTTTAACAGCTGCTCATAGATCCCCACCTTACTGGTCAACGATCCCAATTTCTTCTGGTCCCGCACCCGCTTCACTTCCACATAGGTACAGGTCACATTGTGATCGGCACACTGGCGACAGATGGGCTTGTCCCCCTCACACTTTATCTTCCGCAGGCGACAGGGTTCACATGCCCGCGTGGACCGACGGCGCTGGGTCTGGTTGTTGAAGCTCGTGGTGCGGGGGATAGCCACCTTGCCGGCCAGTCTGGACAGGCCGGCGATGGCGATATCGTGGGACGACGAGGAGGAGGATTGATGACGAGCTATGGGACGGTTGCGGGAGCGGGATTGCTCCTGCTGGTGCTGGTGCTGGTGCTGGTGCTCCGAGCGTTCGCGCTTGTTGGGATGTCGAGAGGCAGTGCTGGTGATAGTTGTCGTAGTCGGGAGGGGAGAAGGGAGAGGTAGAGAGTGCGAGGGGACTGGGAAGTTGGCGGCATGAGTAGGTGCAGGTTGAGGTTGCAAGCCCGGGGGCAAGGCGGAATTGCTTCTGATTTCCCAAGACCAGTCGGAGCTCCCACTTCGACTGCTGATGAATCCCCCTGCTCCTCCACCGGCACCGCCGACACCGCTGCTGCCGCTGCCGCTAGGGGTGTTGGTGTAAGTGGTGGGATCGGTGCTGGTGGTGGCAGTGGTGTTGTCAGTGCGCGACTCGGAATCATTGACGGACGAAAAACCGAGGAAGAATGAGCCCGACGAGTCCTCCATGCTGCATTAAATCGGGGGTAGGAGGAGTATAGCCCATTTGAGATATAGCATGCAATTGGGGGGAGGCAAGATACTGAGTACGAGTAATAGAAGAGGGGGGCAAAATAGCAAGTGGCGCGCAAGCTTGATTGAGGGAGCCTGGAGGGATTGAGGGGGCGAGGAAGTGAGTACGTGAGGAAATGAGGAAATGAGGAAATGAGTAAATGAGTAAATGAGAAGTGAGTAAGTGTAGTGTGAAGCGAAGGCGAGAGAAAGGCGATGGAAAGGATGGAGAGGATGGAATGGATGGAATGTGGGTGGAAAGTTTATGGCAAATGATGTCATCCCCAAACTTACCTTCGAAATTCTACCAAATGTATAGTTTGTATTTACATGTACGTACCGTAGCTGGTTTAAGCCACCTAAAATGCTGATCTACATCCCTTTCAATCATGCAATCATGTTGAGGTAGTTGCTCGATCGTCGGGGAATTACTTGTATTACTGGCCTCGACGCCGATTGTCTATCAATTCTCTACATGCATAGAAGAGTGGCAATACATGGGGATAAGTTTATCCAGAGCAGGGATTATGCCAGCTACTACAGAAAAAAAGAAAAATATAAATGAATTATATTGAATCAAATCAAATTCAACTAAACTAAATTAGAATTAAGCTACTCTAGGAAGCTACTCACGGAGAGTAGTATGAATTGCTTAGTATACACTTAGGGTGTACGGAAGTAGCTTCTCCTTCTTTTTCAAACCATTCTCATTGCATTCATTGAAGTCTTTCAACGCAGACTGCACAGAACTCTGTGGTCAATAACACACCAATAAAAGGGGGTATTTTGGGTTTAATTAATCAGAGGGGGGAGAGGGGATGGCAGCATCGTCCCCAAACATCGGCAATAACAACAAGAAAAATCTCATTCATCTCCGTATCCGCCCGGAAGCAATATCATCTTTGCCCAGGCTCAAGCTTTCATACCGGTCCAGCATCTCAAAAAGACTGGGTTCCCCCTCTATAAGCCCACCATAGCGTTCATCCGTCCCAAGCTTATCCAGTCCCTTGGCGTTTTCATCCCACCGGGAGGGCGACGTGGACTCTTCGTCGAACAGCGCCTTAAGCTCATCCGAAACGAGATTCGATCCCCGCAGGTGCTGGCCTTGGCCCCGGGCGCGTACCATCTGACGGAACATGTGGAACAGACTTTGACCCAACGGGGAGCGACTAGCAATGCTAGAGAAGGAGCTGGCTAAGGAGAGAAAGTCCTGGTCAAGGATATCAAAGGACTCGGGGTCGAGCAACGTGAACAGGGCCAGATTGATCGCGTACAAAGCAAAGTGATGCGCGCGGCTGACCCCGTATTCGCGTCGATGGAGGAGGGTCAGCGCAGATATGGCACGTGCGGCAGACTGCACAATACTGGGGGCACTGTATTTCAGGGGCGGACTGCAGCCTGGTGGACTCTCCGGCGTTTGGGGGGCTTCGGATCCAGGACTGCGTTCAGTCCCTCCGGTGCTGTGGGAGAACAAACCGATGACCAAGGTATGGTAGCGCATTCTGAGACTGTCGTCAGCGAGAGGCCATTCCGCGCGTGTCGGACCTTTCTTCAAGCACACCTCAGCAATATGATATAAGGGGGCGGTCTACGGCATGGCTCAAACACGTCCGGCAACGTTGCGTACCAACCACGAAGCCTTTCGAAGAGCCGTTCTTTGGTCCTATGCTGGTGCTCAACAGACACCACGCCCCCGTCGAGCGAGAAAAGGGTCTGAGAGATGTCTCTGGCGATTTCGCAGAGATCACACGAGTGATCGAAATACTGGCTCAGATAGGAAGCCCGGGCGGGTCGGTGAGAAGGGTATGGCACCCACAGGTTCGAATCCTCTTGATGATGTTGGTCCGGTCGCTGGAAGTTGACTTTGTCTATCAAGCTCGGACGTAAGAACTCGGCATGCACAACCCTAAGAAGACAGCTCAGACCCCAGAATGTCAGCGGCAAACCGGGATGGAACGACTCACGTATCAATGTGAAATAGGCCCCAGGCTGATCGCTTGACCGAGATCTCCATATCGCCGGGTAATTGCCCTGGGATGAGACTAGGGCTCCTCGGTCCGATTAACCCTAGGGAATGACCGGTCTGGATGGCTTGGTGGAGCATGCGATACCCAAGGTCATCCTTGCCCGACATCGAATACCTCGAGCATCGGTTACGCGTTGAGTTTGATAGTGACCGGTTAACCGACTTACCTCTCGTATAGCAAAAGTGTGCCTTGCAAGTAAGCCAGGCTCAACTTCACAGGTTCTTCCTCCCTCAAACGTTCCGCTTCTGCCAGGAAATCGACTCCCTTGGTCACAACATCCCCCGGATCGACGTATGCCTCGGAGTAGTCCGAAAAGTGCTGCATAGTTCCCTCAGTCAGTCTGCGATCGTAAGCTATCCGAGAGGCGCGATAGTTCAGCATTGATATTCCATCTTAATTTTTGTCTAAAGCGTCGACCACTGGAGGCAGAAAGAAGGAGCGAAACAGAGAACGATAAAACGGGAAAAGCTTACACATGCATTCGTGAGCAGAGCGTTCACCAGGAATGGGCTGCAGAACTCCGACTGGGGATTGGCCCGTCGCATATGCTCGAGGAAGACATCGCGGTCGAGGAAGGCATGAAATGGATAGTCCCAGGTGAAATACAAGGACACCAAATGTGAGACGAGGTCTGCATCCTCAGTCACTGTTGTCCATGGTCTGGCGGGGACGCGGTACGGCACCTCGTCACAAAGATAATGTATATCCATCACCTTGGGGCGAAAAGAAGGCCCGGCCCCTTCCACGTCAATCACGCGGCGGACCTCCTCCAGCTTGCACCCGGCCTCTTCCCCTACCTTGCTGTCTCCACCATCCTGGCCCAGGATCTCGTCAATGAACGCACGGATCTCCTCGGCCGAGGCATCATTCCGGATGATCTCCAGCAGCTGCAGCCCGTAGGAGTGATCCTCGGCGCGCATCACCTTCAGCAGGTCATTCAACATGTCCCGATGGTAGCTCAGCTCATCGGCGGTGCGCTTAGCGGCCACTCTTCGTCGCTGGTCCAAGGTCTCGTCGAAAATACACTGTCGGTTGAAGGCCCGGCAGTTATCACACGGCGGCACTCCAGAGCACTGTCAAAGGTCGTGTTCTATGTCAACAACGGCTCCTTGCCGGGACGGTTGGGGGGAAAGGCGTGGCGAGCAGCTGCTACATTTCGCTGATGGGGTGATAACATTTATTCAACCGACACAACTTATAGATGCAGTAGCACACGCAGGTGGGGGACTCGCCTTGCGTTTGGACTTCTTGCAGGCCAGACATGCCATTGACACTCGTTTCTTTGAGCCATCGCCTGGGGTGGGAAACGTTCTGTCGGGCGAGCTCTCCCGCGACGGAGGTTTCTCTGACTTGCTAGGGGAAGGTCCGGGAGCAATCTGGCGATGTTGGCTGCCGAATTCACTCATCATGCCCCGAATGAGACTATTGGTGGTGGTGGTGTTGTTGATGTGGTGTAGTGTGGTGTGGTGTGTGGTGTGGTGCGGTGCGGTGCGGAACTGTACATAGAACGCAGATCTGGTCGGTACAGGGCACGCGGAGTCGAGGAAGGAACGCGAGCGGCCAAAGAGCTGCCTACCCTGTCGGAAAATCTCTTTCTCTGCTGAGACATGAGGAGACTTCCAGTTGACCTGGTGATGACGTACAAGTTCAAGGTACCACCTACGTTAGAGGCGTCAGGAAACCTTGTCCGAGCATAAAAGGTCGAGCGGGGGAGAATTATAGCCGATTATGCATGGCTGCAACATGCCAATCACCATGGCACATCTGGGGAGGAGTATCCGCTTCGAGATGGAGGTGACGGGAGGTGACGGGGGTGACGGTGATGACACCTGAGGCCATTCATGGCATGTGGTTCTGCTGTGGTTCTGCTATGGTTCTGCTGTCCGTCGAGCAAGTTGATTGCAGCTTGGAGAGTCCGGAGAAAGTGTCCAAGACCAACGGGAGGTGGAAGCCAGTCCCGGATGGGATGAGTCGGACAATCACATGTCAAGTCGAGACCAGCCAAAACAGCCAAAACAGCCAAAGTTATGCTCATACTTGAAAGAATCCTTCAGAAAACAAGGATGGATCGGAGGTACAAACTTAATTTTCGGAGAAACGGAAAACGGTATGGGCTGAAGAAAGATGGATGGAATCAACAGAAGAATTGGATATTACGTACGGTGATATCTCCTAACTAACTAACCCTGGTCCACATTCGGCACTTTTCTCCTGGGAGTGCCACCTTGGACCCAGCAGGCTGGCGCCCCAGGAGTGGCGTCCGAATGCTTTCCTATTAGAACAACACTAAATAACAAGACGAACATATGCAGACCTCAGGCAGAATGGGGAAGGGAACAGAAGAGAGCAGGTCGCTGGATAACTAAACTAGAAGTTTGACTCCCGCCCCGAAGCCATGGCCGTGGTGGAAAGCTACCTGGAAATATGTGAATCACAACATCTTTTCAATCAGAAAAAGTATGATGCAGACAGGAGAAAAACTCGTTTCCCCCCGCTGCTAGTATAGACAGATCTATCAGTCCATGCCAGTTCCGCCTCTGAGTCCCCGGACCATCGGGGTGAGAACTGAATCTCCACACGTCAACCACCCATCTAGTGCTCCAGGATACGCAGGCTGCCCTGCACGACACAGTTCTCGAGCACAGAGCCCGGGGGAACGTCAATGGTACTGCCCTCGGTGGCAACAATGATGACGGTACCCTTGAGCGTCACGTTGCGACCCAAGTTGACAGCACCGGTGATGGTGAGGTGGTCGAGCTCGACAATGCGAGGAATGCTAGGGATGTGCTTCTGGAAGTCCGAGACCTTCTTGAAGTCGGAACCGAGCTTGATGACAGGGACACCACCGAAGCGGTTGGGGTCCATGACCAGCTGGCCGTGCTCCAGGCGGTAGAGGTCGGACTTGACCAGCAGGAGGTCCGAGCAGGTCTTGACGGGCAAGAAACGACGGCGAGGGACGTTGACACCGTGAGCATTCTTGAAGTGGCGGATGGCGGCACCGACGGCAGTCTCCAGCTGGTAGATGGCCTGGTCGGCCTCGCCCTTCTTGTCCGCGGCGATGGACTTCTCGTTGGCGATGATCTCCATCTCCAGCTCGTTCTCCTCAACAACCCGCTTGATGGCGCGGAGGTTCATCCAGATGTTGTTGGTGTTGAAGTACTTGAACTTCTTGATCGACTTGAACTCGTTCACGTGCTCCTTGGGCACCTGGGCGATTTCGAGCAGGCGGACCTTGCCCTCGTAGTCAATGATGGTACCACCCTTGACGTCGGCCTTGGTCTTGTCGGTCAACTCCATGATGTACTCGGACTGAGTGTCCACCATGTGCTGCAGGATGCGGAGATCCACGACGGCACCCAAGTTGTCGGCGTTGGAGAGGAAGATGTACTCGACACCGCGCTCAAGGAGCTTGTCGAGGGTACCAGAGTTGTAGAGAGACTCGAAGACGTCACCGTGTCCGGGGGGGTACCAGTCCTGGAGAGGAGCATCGAAGGACTTGGGAGCGGGGAGGAGGGAGTCCTTGATGATACGGGGGTAGCGGGACTGGTTGAAGGTGATGATGTCGACGTTGTGGCCCTGGTACTTCTTGATGATGGACTGAGTGTCCTGGTCGGTGTTGAAGGAGTTCATCAGGACGAAGGGAACGTTGACGTTGAAGGTGCGGTTGAGGTGCTCGATCTGACGGACCGAGAGATCCAGGAAGGACATGCCCTCACGGACCTCAATGACGGACTTGGGGCCAACGCATCCCATGGAGGTACCCAGACCACCGTTGAGCTTGACAACAGCCAGCTTGTTCAGGAACTCGACCGAGGCCTCGGCGCCCAACTCATCGTAGCCAACAACCTGAGAGGGCTGGGGGGGGGCGATGCGGTCCCAGTTGACCTCGTTACCCTTGGCCTTGTCGTTGAGGAATCTGCGGAAGAGGGCGAAGAAGTTGTCCATCTCAGCCTCGAAGCGCTTGCGCTCCGTGGCATCGGGAACAGTCTCGGCGAGGGCGTTCAGGGCGTTGCGCATCTGCGAGGCAGCCACGCTGGTGGAGGCATTTTCGAAGGCCTGGATATCCATGCTCATTAGTATCGAAACTATGGAAACAATGGCCGCAGAAGTCCAGAGTGCAATTTTCCGTCGTCCCATTCGCAGGTAGTAAACAGACTGGGCCGCTCTTTGCAACCACCCTAGAAAGTGGAAGTTTGTCCAGAAGAGGGCTTGCCAGGCCAGACGAATGAGGAGACGGCTGGTCAGGAGATCCCGTATCTGACCCGAGCCGATGAGCTGGCAAAAAAGGCTCAGGATGTCCAAGGGAGAAAATTGCTGCGTTCTGTCAAAGAACACAGCCAAAAGAAACAACAGAAAAGTGCGGCCGAAGCGGCTATTGGTGATGGTCTGACAAATCACAAGTAGCCGCGCGAGGTACAGCGCCTCTATGAGAGCGAAATAGAACAGGAGTGGATAACAGCAAGAGGAGCAGGTCAAGGTGAGGCAATCAATGAGGGGATCCCAGTCAACAAACCCCCACAAGCCGAAAAGGGTGAGTGGGGACAGGGAGGCCGAAATGATGATAGGTGCTCTGGCGAAGGTTCGGTAGGTGATATTGTAGGCGATAAAAGCAATGAGAATGAAAGGCAAAGCCCAGAAGGCAACGGTACAGTCAAGGACTGGCATTTGCTTGAAGGGAGTATGGATATGCGATATGATGGTGGTGGAGAGGATAACAGTTGTGAGAGAAAAGAAGAACCTGGTTCTTCCTCTACCACACCAGTAGCAGGCTATTTGGTCTGGCAGGCGCACTCTTTTCATTGCACTTTCCACCTGGCGGATGGAGGTTTGGGACGACACAAGGCAAGAGCACGATAATGAAGAATCAAAGTCGAACTTACCATGTGAGACTGGGACTTTCCGTGGTGCTTGCCAAACGAGCCGGAGCTGGCATCGCCGGCAGGAGCTCTGAGGTGAGTGGGCAAAGCTTTGGAGGCCATTGTGAAGGTAGTGATTCCGGGGAGGATGGAGAAAGAGAGGGAGAGAGAGATAGAGAGAGAGATTGAAGAGACGAAGTTTGTGAGGAGGGGAGGAGATGCGAGAAGGTGGAGGACAGAAAGCTGCTACTACTGTGGATCCGCGACAGTTGGTTAGTTTAGGTACCTTAAGATGTAAAGGTGTATCAACAGCAGCTGAAACCGGGCAAAGTGGTTCAAAGTGGTTCCAACGGGTGGTCCTTTTAATGATGATGGAATCTCGCCACAACGCCCATTAGGGTGTGTGTCTGTGTGTCTGTGTGTCTGTGTGTTTGGGGTGTATGTCGATCGCATTGGTAGGTTGGATAAAGGGCTGGTCGATGTCGACAGATTGCCGTCATGGACCCAACTATTGGTGCGACGAGAACCACCACCGACCAGGGGAAGAGCGGGGGAATGAGAACGGGAGGGAAGAGAAGAGGGGGAGTTCAGAGAGGTTCAGAGTACTGAACTGTACGGTTACTTACTGGAGAGTGGGAGATAGAGGAGAGGGAGGAAGAGGCGGAGGAGAGATTAGAGATGATGAAGGATTCAAGAGCAGAGAGGAAAGGGAGAAAAAAAACTAAAGCGACTCAACCAGCTTGGATGAGGATGAGAGGTTATTTATTAGTACACTTTTCTTTTTTTTTTCTCCTTCTTGGATCAACGATGACGATGTCTTAAGTCTGGCTGGCTTTGGGTTATTTATTTTCGGCGGGACAAAGTGGGGGTGTGGAAGTGGAAGTGGAAGTGGAAGAGGGGGGGATTTTTCAGGAGAGCAGCAGATTATGGATACCGAGTCATAACCAATCTTACACTAATCCACACTAATCCGTAGTCTCAGGGGAAGGGAGCCCGTGACAATACCTGACAGGCTGATAGGGACAACTTCAGCCTTCATGACTTGCCCAACAAATGTTTCTTAACTTCCTTGGTCGGGAGGGGCAGCGAAAAGAGGGGCGCTATTCTTAGTACTCCAGTCAGTAGCTTCCAGTAGTTGTTCTTCTCTCACTTCTCCCAGTTCACCACTACTGCCCAGTGGTAATGGTCCAGGCTTGATCCTCTTGTTCCTCCCCTCAGCTCTCCCTCTTCCACTTCCGATTCACAAGAGCTAACCGCCATTCCAAGCAGTTAACCACTCAGTCACTCAGTCCAGACAGAAATCCGTGACAGAATGATCGGATCAATACACCCATCCGATCTCTTCTCTTCTCGTCGATCTAGATACACATACACATACGCATACACATAGCCTACCGATCTACCCCTCCCTCGTCTAAACCAGACAAACCCATCAATTGAATTCCAGGGCACCGACAGACAACCAGACAGACAGACAGCATTGCAGATGAACAACTGTCATGCAAGTCGCCTCCAACACATCCACATCCACACATCCACAACCTCCCTAT